AAAAGTAACGTCCGTCAGTTTAAACGTGCTGCAATTACGACGTGCGTCAGCTCTGACGCACTGTAACAATACGCGATGATTACAACGCGCATAGGTTAAAGTTTAAGATAATTTTAATGGTTTTTCACTGCGACGCACGGAAAATCTAACGTACGTCAGTTTTAACGTGCGTCAGTTCTGACGCACTGTGACTATGATTATAAAGTGTGTAGGTTGCAATGTGAAATAATTTTAATGGTTTTTCACTGCGACGCATGGAAAATCTAACGTACGTCAGTTTCAATGTGCGTCAGTTCTGACGCACTATGACTATGATTATAAGGTGTGTAGGTTGCAATGTGAGATAATTTTAATGGTTTGTCACTGCAACGCACGCAAAATGTGACGCACGTCAGTTTCGACGTCCTGTAATTATGACGTGCGTCAATTTCAACGCGCTGTAATTATGACGCACGACAATTACGATGCCTAGAAATTACAACTAGTCAAGAATATAACGCGTGAATATTACAATCGACGACAATTTCAACATGCTGCGATTGCAACGCGCGGTGATTACAACGCACGTCGATGTCAACGCACTGTGATTACAACGTTCGTTAATTTTAACGTGCTGTGATTACTACACGCGGCTATTAGAATACATAAAGATTCAAACTCAGCGAAAATATAACACAAAAAGATTACAATGTCGATTTTAACATGCGGTGATTGTAACGAGCGGTGATTACAACGCACGTCAGTCTCAACGGACAGTGATTACGACGTGCGTCAGTTTCAACGTACTCCGACTACTATACACGACAATTATAACATATTAAAATTCATGGAGAATATAATGCTTGAAGATTGCAATGTTGATTTTAACGTGCGGTGACTGTAACGAGCGGTGATTACAACGCACGTCACTCTCAACGGACGGTGATTACGACGTGTGTCAGTTTCAACGTGCTCTAATTACTATACACGACAATTATAACATATTAAAGTTCATGGAGAATATAATGCTTGAAAATTGCAATGTTGATTTTAACGTGCGGTGACTATAACGCGCAGTAATTACGACGCACGTCAGTCTCAACGGACGACGATTACGACGTGCGTCAGTTTCAACATGCTCTGACTACTATACACGACAATTATAACAGAGATTAAAATTCGTGAAGAATATAAGTCTCGAAGATTGCAATATGCGTTGGTTTCAACGTGCTGTATCTTCGCACGTCGATTTCAACGCACTGTGATACAGACGCGCGTTAATTTCAACGTGCAACGATTACAACGTGTAGAGATTGCAACTTGTGGAGAATATAACTCACGGAGGTTGCAATATGCGTCCATTTCACCAAGCTGTGACTATGACGCGCAGAGATTACAACGCGCGTCAGTTTCAACATACCGTGATTACGACCCACGTCGAATTCAACGGTACTATTATTACGACGCGTGACGATTACAATGCGTTCAGATTACACTGTATAATGACTATGACATATGGAAATTACAACCCGCAACTGTAAAGCGCGGCAAACACACTTGAACAAGCAGTTACAATATTTTTCTACGGAAGACTGTTATTGTAATATGAGTCATTATTTATTTATAATTAAATAGAATCTTAGGGAGAATTTTTTACTCTCTGAGGAAAATTATACGCAAAATCTGTATGTACACAAAAATATACAGATTCAACTTAAAAAAAAGTAGTGATGGCTTTGACAGAAATGCAATACGAAATCTTTTTGTCGATTTCAAATAAATCCTTGAGACACCATGTACACGATTGACTAAAGGAAAAAAATGTACCCGGGTTGTACGACGTCAATGTACGGCCCTGTAACGCCACTTCACTCATCGTTCACATTTCCTCCTCGAATCCTTCTTACTCGCGGCATTATCATAATGCCATCGGTCGCTACGTGACAGGAAAGACGTATTATCGTGGCTCGCTGTAGTTTTCCGATCCTCCTAGCAAGCTTATCGTCCTCGCTTTAAAACGAATGCGAATTAGTCGCCCTCCCGTCGTCTCGCGGAGAAAGTTACTATGTACTGCGTTGAAAGCAGGAGAAAGAGGAGTTGAAGATGAAACTCTGAAGAGGTTAGGATGATGGTGTCGCGGTGTTCTTAGACTCTGAATGCAATTTGATTCACCGGCATCGGGGTTTGAAGGATCGTCTGACTAATGATCCTCGGATGTGAAATTTCCACGTTTCAAATTACTATCTAATAAACAATACAATAACCTATAAATATTTTTGGTAGAAATATCAAAGATTTGTTTAAATTAAAAATGAGTCTAATGAATCTGACATTTCATCCCGCAATGCAGTCAATTTCTAAAAAGCTAAAATTTCCCGAAAAGTGAAGATACAAATAGCCTAAATTTTCGCCCAGGTCCATTCTGAAATGATGGGTCCTCATTAATCAAACTTAGTCCGAAAATACCGAGACATTCATCTGGCTCTCATCCTCCGACAGAAATAACTTCTCGTATCGCGACACACATTCCATTGAAACGAATATATTATACACATTACAGGCCGCAATGCGTGAGACGGCGAAGGAAGCAGGCTTACATCGGTACTTGCAAGAATTCTCAAAGAGTTTCCCCTCGGTAACGTCTAAACGTGTTGAATTCCTGTCAGCAGCTCCCGCAGGAACGAGAACGGAAGCGGATAGTTGGCTGGATGCCAGACGACACCCTCGCCTTCTTTCCTGACCGTGTGAGAGCGCCGCACACACGGACGACCCATGTGTGCACGGTTTTCTATATCTCTTACTCCAACGGAGTAATAATCCTAACTCGCGGGTTAGCCGGGCTTAATTAGAACAGGGGTTAGTGGCTGGCCGTGTTATAGTCGCGTCTCTGCCATTCGACACTGGCCACTTCGCTTCATTTTGCACCCTTCTAGCTAGTCTGCAACTGTCCGGGCGACACGGTTGATAACGAACGACCAACTGCGCCACTGTCACTTAGCTCATTGTTAAGTTAGTTATCGGTTTAGGTACAGTGATGGACACCGGATAGTTAAAGTGCACAAAGTTTCCCGGAAACTTTGCCTAGATTACTGTGGATCAGGGTTGAATGAAAACCTAGCTTTCGGGAGGGGTATACAACCCAATTGAATTTCTGCCGCAGGATTGAAATATTGATGCAACTTTTGGGAGACCCACTTTCACAAATTACTTCGAGTACAGAATAAGGATTTTGAGTATACTGGAACCAGTTTAACAGAACTCGCTGAATTAGTTCTTTTTAGCCCTCAAAATTTGGACTCTACAAAAGTGGTTCTGACTATTTTTCTGTTCTGGAGCCTTAAATATGTGGTTTGATCATCCTAGGACTTAGGTTGTTACTGATCACCAAAGCTCAGATTTGATCAATTTGTTCGTTCGTATTAGTAGCTCATACCCATCACTTGGACCTTAGGCCCACTTTTATAAGTGAAATTACTTGCTTCTGACTATCCTCTGTCCCAAAATCCAAAATTTGGTCATACTGTAACCTAGGTTGCTATCACCTGAATCTAATCAGAACTCACACTTGCTAAGTTTGTTCGTTCCTTCTGAACACTCATACCCATCCCTACATTTGGAGCTTAGACCCATTTTCATATGTGGTTCCTTACATATTACTTGCTTTTGATTATTCTCTATCCCCAAGTCTAAAACTTGGTCACACTGTGACCTAGGTTACTACCTATCATTTCAGCAATGTAATCAGAACTCAGACTTGCTAAATTTGTTCATTCCTTCTGAACACTCATACCCATCCCTACATTTGGACCTTAGACCCATTTTCATATTTGGTTCCTCACATATTACTTGCTTTTGATTATTCTCTACCCCAAGTCTAAAACTTTGTCATACTGTGACCTAGGTTACTACCTATCATTTCAGCAATGTGATCAGAACTCATACTTGCTAAATTTGTTCATTCCTTCTGAACACTTATATACATCCCTACATTTGTACCTAGACGTACTTTCATATGTGGTTCTTCATAAACTACTCGCTTCTGATTATTCACTGTACCAAAGTCTAAAATATATGTTTTAGTCATACTGTAACCTACCGATGAGCTATCAGACTCAGTAAATTAGTTCGTTCCTTTCGGAAGCTCATATCCATCCCTCTAAAATTTAACGTTCTTTTTAATAACGAAGCGCGGCAACAAAGACCGGGAAAAGGGACAAAGGACGAGAAAAAGCAAAGGAAAAGCGGTAGACATCAGCGGCGGAGAAGAAGCTAGCCCGAGGGGCACGAAAGAAAAACAGCAACATTCAGATCGAGCCGGGGATGAGGAAGACGCCAACGGGACGCAAAAGAAACCCACGTTGAAGCATTCCATTGTACGAATGCAAAAGAAAACGGATCCAAGCTGGCCCGGGGAACGATTCTCTCACGATTGGCCGACAATGGCCGGCCGTGAACACCAAACTCTGTAGCCGGCTCGATTGGCGAATCAATCGGCCTTTTTGCGAACGCGCAGCCATCGGCGTCGCGTCCGATAAAACGGTCTGACACGCTCTTCAGGGATACGGCAAAAATGACCGCGACCAGACACAAAGGAGGATCCTTTATATATGTATATGTATCCTGCGCGACACCGACGACCAAACTGACAAGGGGAGACAGCCGACACAAAGCGCGTTCTTTCGGGGACATGCTGGTAATAACTGCACGCTCGCAAATTTCGACCATCCTCTTTGGACCCGTTCCTTCCAAATGTTTTTATTGGATACGCTTGCCCACGAATGAATTTTGGAGGAACCCTGACAGATCTGACCATTCGTTCGGATTCTTTTGTGCTTTTTAGGCTATGTGATTTTCGGATTGTGGACACCTTGATTTGGTGGAAAGGGACCTTCTAGTAATCACAGGTTTTCAGATGTGTTTAGGTTTCAGTTAGAATGCTGTTAGGTTCTAAATGATAGGTGGACATCAGATTAAACCCCCTTATATTATAAAATGGGGTGTGTGTAGAATAGTGAACTTACGTATTTTGAAGCCCTATGCTGCATTTAGTTGTTTTGGAAGATGAATGTAGGGTATGATCCACACCATTCTACCATTTCCTTCTGAAACAGAAAATTCGTTGACTGTGAGACTAATGATCAGATACATCAAGGTTTATTGATTGTCATAGTCATATTATGGGCTGGTAGTCATCTTATAGCCTATAGTCATATTATGATCATCATATACTTCATAGATGTCTTACAACCATATAGCTATCTTATAGCCTTGTAGTCATCTTGTAGCCTATGTCCATAGTCATCATTTACCTTGTAGGTACCTTCTAGTCTTGTAGCCATGTTATTTCCTACAGTCACATTATAGTCATCACTCATCTTATAAGTACGTTATAGACTTGTAGCTATCTTATAGCCTTGTAGTCATCTTATAGCCAATGGCCGTAGTCATCATTTACCTTATAGGTCCCTTACAGCCATGTAGACATCTCATAGCCTATAGTCATATTGTAGTCGTCACTCATCTTATAGGCAGCTTATAGACTTGTAGCTATCTTATAGCCTTGTAGTCATCTTATAGCCAATGGCCATAGTCATCATTTACCTTATAGGTACCTTATAGTCTTGTAGACATCTCATAGCCTATAGTCATATTGTAGTCGTCACTCATCTTATAGGCACCTTATAGACTTGTAGCTATCTTATAGCCTTGTAGTCATCTTATAGCCAATGGCCATAGTCATCATTTACCTTGTAGGTACCTTATAGTCTTGTAGATATCTCATAGCCTATAGTCATATCGTAGTCGTCACTCATTTTATAGGCACCTTATAGACTTGTAGCTATCTTATAGCCTTGTAGTCATCTTATAGCCAATGGCCATAGTCATCATTTACCTTGTAGGTACCTTATAGTCTTGTAGATATCTCATAGCCTATAGTCATATCGTAGTCGTCACTCATTTTATAGGCACCTTATAGACTTGTAGCTATCTTATAGCCTTGTAGTCATCCTATAGCCTATGTCCATAGTCATCATTTACCTTGTAGGTACCTTATAGCCTTGTAGCCATCTTATAGCCCTATAAGCTATCATAATCCAACCACATTCATCTCCGAATCAACCATCTCCTTGATTACTAAAGAATGACCCTATTGCTCATCCCAAAAATATCATCCCAAAAATGTCTCCATCTTCACAGTCATACTCCCAAACGTGTAAAAGCTGTTCTCTGAAGTTCCCGATCCTGAACGAGTTCAAAACATCATCAGCTCGTCCTTTCATCGTCATGATCCTACTGGCAGGCGTCACAGTCAGCGATCAAACGTCTGAAAGAGGCCAGGACACCTAGCTGGCATCAAAGGCGACATGTCAGCCGGCAGCTCGAAACGATTCACCGCGTGCAGCAGAAACAAAGGCGGGCAAAAGGCGAAAGACACAAAGCCCCACCCTGTTTTAAAGGGGTTAAGCGGACCACCGGCCGACTAGGGTGTCGCAGTTGAACGAACCTGCATCGCTTCGGGAGGTCAGCTGATCCGCTTTGCGATTTTACGGCTTCTCCGATCACGGCTGCAGCTCGAGGACATCGCCGCGATAAAATCACATTTCGCGATCGTTTGCTGATTTATATCGCGGCCAGACGGTGTTGCGTGTCCCGGAGACCTTTGACCTTCGGAGCACTGTCAACATGGCTAAATGCGCTCGCTCTTGGAACAACAGATCAAAGGACCGTACAGCTCCGCTCAAAGTTGCGCAATTCCGTGAAATTCACGAGTAATTTTCCCTGTTTAACTTTGTTGCGTTTAAAACGTTCTCTGTTGCAGAGGATTTACATCGTGTCCAAGAAGTATTTAAATCGTATTTATTTTCGTTCGTATGCCCGGAACAATTACAGAATACGCGCGGAAAATTTTGCAGCCTCTGGCTCGAAAGTTCTTGAGGAACTCGCGTTATGGAAACAATCTGTTCCACGATCGATAATCGCAGTTCCGTGCTTTTAATTTCTCCGTTCACGTACTTTTTTCCTTCGCGTGGTTACGATGTTTCGCGAACTTTGATCCCATCAGGAATTAATCGTTTAACTTGTTAGGAGTTGCTGACTTTTGCTGATCAAAATGAAACGGCCTATCGCAAAATGGTAGTCAATTTATTGCTCTAAAACTCCGATATGAAATGGGTCAGCTTTACGCTAATAGGGAGAGCAATTAGCGTCAGAGGAATTAAAATGTTGAGGACTTTTGATAGACAATCCTGTAAATGTTTTGTGGGTTATAACGGAACGTAATGAATATTTATAGCGAAGTTTATTGATTCGAAAACTGTCAACCCCATGCAATCCTATAGCACATCCCTTCGTGTTTCGAATTCAATCGTACTCAACCAGCGAACAAGCTGAAAAAAAAGTCGCAGAAGTAAACGAGTAATCAATACAGGATGCGATGAAAAACCCGTGCGAGATTTGGAACACGCGTTTGAAGCGCATACCATGGAAAACATGGCGAGAAGGGTGGGTGAAAGAGGACCAAACGAAAGCGGGTCAACTCGTCTGCGCTGGAAAATATGTAACTTCGCTCGAGTGCATAACTGCACCAACCTACCCTCCTTGCCGCGGAATTCTAATAATTTTTGCGGGTCCCTGACTCGTGCTACACCCCTCTATTTACGAGGATGTTCCGGAAACTGGTCTTCTTATGTATACAGGCGCGCTCAAAAAGAATGTCACTTTTGTTCACTAAACGTGCATACACTTCCATAAATAAAATTGACAATATTTCATAATATTACATTTTTGATATTTAATTGTAATTGTTGTGCTCTTTGTGAAAGCTTCAAAATTATTTTTACGTTTGTTCTTTATAGATTATTTTTATGTTTGAATTCAAATAGTTTGTAGTGAAATTTACGAGGATGTTCCGGAAACTGGTCTTCTTATGTATACAGGCTCGCTCAAAAAGAATGTCACTTTTGTTCACTAAACGTGCATACACTTCCATAAATAAAATTGACAATATTTCATAATATTACATTATTGATATTTAATTGTAATTGTTGTGCTCTTTGTAGAAGCTCTAAAATTAATTTTATGTTTATTCCTCACAGATTATTTTTGTTTGAATTTAAATACATAGTTTGCAGTGACATTTTTATGTTCATTCTTTACAGATTATTTTTATGTTTGAATGTAAATAGTTTACAGTCAAATTTTTATGTTTATTCTTTACAGATTTTTATGTTTGAATTTGAAAAGTTTGCAGTGAAATTTTGTGTTGATTGAATTGATGCTAAGGGACTAATTTTTTTGGGACGAAAACTCAATTCACTTAGAACTATCTTATGAAGATTTTAAAAAATTCAAAAATGACAGTAATATATTTTTTAGATCCTTCACTGTGAATAATTTAACGAATATTTTAATGAAATTTAATGGTGTATGTTTAAAGGTTATAAGGGCCTTCTGATCCTGTAATAAATTAATAAACTTTTGCATTCAAGTGCATGTGTGTGTACCTGTGCATATGTGTAACATATGAATTCTAAGGATACATGTATATTAAATTTAATTGTGCAAACATCTGCTCTTTGAAGCTGGTTTCCCCAAATAAACACAGAAATACGAAACGAAAGACGAATATATGCAGCTGGTACTCAATTTTATTAACGAGCAATAATGATAATTACAAAACAATAAATATACAATAACAACTATAGTATGCGCATCGTATTAATTTATAACCGCAGAAAATAATAAACGTTTACGAGTTCCGGTTAAGAGGGTTTAAAACAATCGCGGCCAATAAATCCGATAATCACGTAACATTTCAATTATCAACAGATTGTTGATGCAAATGGTTTTTGGAAATTAAACCGTTCTTAAAATAACATGTTCTCTGTTTCGATCGATTTAATCCGACGACAGAACTATAAAAATAATCTATATCAAGATTACGGGGTCTAATATCATAAAGATTGAAGATCTCGATAAGATATTCTGCTCTAGATTGGTGATCCAGATAAGATAATATTCCGTCTAGATGAAAGATGTAGAAAAGATTATATTCCGTCTGGATTCAAGATCTACGTAAAATAATATTCCATCTAGACTCGAGATCTAGATAATATTTCATTCAGAACTTAAACCCTTAACATACAATTTTATAGGCAGTTGTCTCATGCACGAACTAATTATTGCTACAATATGAAAAATGAGAAATGAGTAAAACAAATTAAAAATAAGACACGTTTTCATCGATCTTTGACTGTGAAGATAATTAGAATTTAACCTAGAATTCAATTTTAATGGAAGCACGAAACTGGTGCGTCACATATGAACTGTAGTGCGTCACATATGAATTGCTCTGCATCACATATGAACTGTGGTGCGTTACATGTGAACTACATGTGCGTTACATGTGCGTCACGCATGAACTATAGTGCGCCACATATGAACTGTAGTGCGTCACATATGAATTGCTCTGCATCACATATGAACTGTGGTGCGTTACATGTGAACTACATGTGCGTTACATGTGCGTCACATATGAACTGTAGTGCGTCACATATGAACTGTAGTGCGTCACATATCAACTGCTATGCATCACATATGAACTACAGTGCGTCACACATGAGCTATAGCGCGTCACATTTGAACTGTTATGCATCACATATGAACTGTGGTGCGTCACATGTGGACTACAGTGCGTCATGCATGAAATATAGTGCGTCACGTATGAACTGCGGTGCGACACATATGAACTGTGGCGCGTCACGCATGAATTATAGTGCGTCACATATCCACTGCTATGCATCACATATGAACTGTAGTGCGTCACATATAAACTGCTATGCATCACATATGAACTGTGGTGCGTTACATGTGGACTACAGTGCGTCACACATGAACTATAGTGCGTCACGTATGAACTGCGGTGCGTCACATATGAACCGTAGTGCATCACATATGAACTGTTATGCATCACATATGAACTACAGTGCGTCACACATGAGCTATAGCGCGTCACACATGAATTGTGGTGCGTCACATATGAACTGTGTTGCGTCACATATGAACTGTTATGCATCACATATGAACTACAGTTCGTCACACA